ACACAAACTAATTATACTATAGTATTACTTTACTTAGTAATTACTAGTAGTAGTATATTAACTAAACTTACGTACTAGTATAGTTATTTAGTACATATATATATATATATATATATATATATATATATGTATACACACACATATTTCTCAATATTTGAAAGTTAGACCTGGCCACTAGAATAATTAATTTTTTAGCAAATTCAGAAATAAATCATACCATAGAAACTTTAAGAAATATTTTGAATTTGAGATAATTTTCAGTTGTATTGTTCCGAGGGTACACTGTAAAGCAAATATATCTTCGTGAAATACCTTTCTAACTTTGTAAGCAGTGCCAAAATATTTGTTTTCACAGTTCTATTTACCTGTTTGTAATGATAATTTAATTATATTTATGAACACAATTAATCTGTCAGTCTGTTACAAATTTTTATAATAAATGCTCTAGAATATTTCTTATTAAAACTGTTTACCAAAATTGCTATTGATTCTTTAAGTACAAAGGTGGTTGATTTGACCCACCTTGGAACTATCTTGTAAACATGAAACTACATGTACTATAACTCTGAATGTACTAAGATTTCAAGAAAGAATTTTTACTAGAAGAATATAAAGTTTTTTTCTATATTTTATCTACCCTAACATTAACTGTAGCAAAATCGTCAATGTACAGTGAAATGAAAAGTTTAAAAATATGAAATAAAATGAGCAATAAGTTACTTATCTTCACATTTGTTTTCTTTTAATTTTATGGTGTTATTGCCTGGTTTATACTAAGGAAGTAGTTAATCCATTCATAAAATGTAATAAAGCACAACAGGAACATATTAACAGTTTCTCAATCACAATGCATGAACTACGTGAACTTTGTACTTGCATGCTTAACCCTACTAGGCCTCTTTTTTTTTCTGAGTTTGTTGTCCAATAACAAATTAAAGTACTATTTAAATTTGCAATTTAAAACAAAAATATATCAGTCACAAGAATAAAATGCCCCAAAACTACTATAATTTATTTGGCCTTTTAACAAAGCTATAAATAGTTTACAAAAATTCTGTTACTGCTCCAAACAATGGCTTTGTTCAACAAAAATTAAGCACTGCTTTTCAACCACCATATTTCACAGCCAAAAATAAACAAAGGATTATAAAATCTGTAGATAATAATCTGATCTTTCGTTTGATAATAAACATGCACATTGGCAGTGTAGACTTTATTATGTAATTGTCTTGAAAGGCCTAGAAGGATGGGAAGAGCTTCTAAAATGGGTTTGACAAAGGTATTATCAATACTCAGCAAATCTGAGTGGTTACCATTCCTTGGAGCCAGCATTTATTATCTTACCTAATATATGATTAGTTTTATTTATTTGAAGTACCAGGTAGATACATTATATAATTTTTCAAAGAACAAGAAAACACAACAATAGTGTAAGAGAAAATTGACAAGTACATTCCTAAAACATAAACTTTAGTGACATTTCTGTAAATATGAGCAAAAAAATTATAACTATTAAGTTCGAAATGAAAACAAATTTTTGTAGCTTATAAATATTCATGTTCAGAGCACCATCGGGTTCAAAATATCATGTTTGTATTTTTATTCTGGATTTTGGTTGGTTGGTGGTGCTTCTGCATCTTTAACACTGCTCTTCAGCTATTGTAATTAAAAATAATATATAATATAATCATTATTTATTATTGACTTTCTAGAATACAGTAAGACTCTGCTTAGCACTACCCCACTTTAAGCTGATTCATTATAGAACTCTTGTCTCCTTGAGAGATTTTTTTTTCATGAGTGAGAGAAAGAAATTATGAAAATCCATAACTCTCTGAACACTACTTTTTCATACTAATGGTAGTAGTGCACTAAATAACTTTTATTTAATAAAATAACGCAAAAAAACAACAAAAACATAGAATAATAACATGCAAAAAGCAGACAATGTCCCATAACTATCACAATTTTTCTGCTGTTTCTAGTGGCACAATATGAACCGTTGAAATGATACTCATCTATACAATATTGTTCTCGTGGGAAAAAAAACATTTTCTTAGGAAGTGATCTACAAATCTCTGTACAGAAAACAATGTAATCTAATACATCATTTGACAGACGAAAACCTTGCCTTCTATTGGTTATAACTAATATAGTCGTAAACATAAGAGAGAACTACACTTATTGACAAATCCTGAAAGAAAGAATGTGACAGGTAGGCATGACAAGATGGGTCTGATTTTTTATTTGATGGCTCTGTAACAAAACAAGATTAAAGGCTAATAAACATTTGCTTCTTTCCAGCAATGACAATATTATAGTGAGTAATTCACGTTAAATTTACAAGTACCTACGTAAAGCACTTATATATCATTCACAGGTAAGAAACAATGCCTTCAGTTACGTATCTCCATATATTTTATGTTAAAATGATCCTGTTTACAGCCATTTTCAGAAACCTTTCCTGAGCATGAAACGAGGTATTACTGTATTTCTACTGGGATATGTTTTTATATGTACATACTGCAATTTTGTTAAAACTTATATATGTTTTATGCATTATTATTATTTTAATTAGGTTGGCTGAAGAGCAATGTTTATACTGTGAAAATGCTACCAATCAAAACAGAACATGCAAGTAATATTTTGTTTACTTAACTTAATCTAAGCCATTATTTGACAAAAGTTTGTGTGTGTGTGTGTGTGCAAACTTATAATTGGCAAATCACTTGATTGATTGTCATCAAATCTGCCATGTACTCTTAAGGCACTATGGGGAGGGATATTAGGTTGGAATTGGAATCTGACCTGCCCAATGTCTTCTTTGTGCATTGAACAGATACATCAGTTAGTAATTAATAAATCACAAAAAAGTAAGAAGCCATAAAAAGCATCTAGAGAGCATTCAGACCAACTTGATCTGGGCTAAACCACTGGATAATCTAAAATTAAGCTTTAACATCTCAATAAACACACACAGAAAAATGGTAAGGCACTCATTTTAAAAACAACTTACCCTGTCATCTAAAGCAGTGTTACTATTACCACCCAATCCACCCATCTGTCGCATCATCTAAAAACAGAAAGATATGATAATATAGGAACTGGTTTACAAGAAATTCTTACTGATTTGGAATATTTGGGTTCTCAACTATATGTAACTGTCCACAGCAGCCACGAATAGATTATAAACATTTTGAAATCAGAATTTTGGGTATTGACATCCCAGGTTGGATAAGAGATATGTCCCCAACAGTGCTGTACAAACCATTAAAATGAAATAAAATAGAGCTCATTGCTAATGATTTGTTAATATCACCTAACTTTGATTATTTATATTGAGCATTTTACATTTTGGAATTTTGTTGTTGAAGTTCATGCAAAGCTTCTTGAGTGCTATCTACACTAGCTATCCATAATTTAGATGTGATAGACTAGAGGAAAGGCAGTAAATCAACACCACCCACTTCCAACTTTAGGCTACTCTTTTACCAGCAAACAGTGGGATTGACTGTCACATTATAACATCCCCACAGCTGATAGAGTGAGAGTGTTTGGTGACAGAAACCCAACCTGCCAAATGTATCTAATATTCTGCAAAGGAATAAATAAACTCACAAACTGGTAAGAGTAGATGTTTAAGGCATACCTTTTAAATCAGAATCTAATCCAAGGTACTCATGAGACTTCAAGTCTAATGGTGTATCTAAGCTGGCAAATCAGAATCCCTTTTAATTTGGCGTAATAAATGTGACTGATAATAATGCTAATTACACCATTCTTTAATGGCCCAATGCAGGTTTCAATTATATTAAATACAATTTCAACTACACCTTACATGTTGTATGCTACTGTTGAGCAGCCTATATTGGATTAACTGAAATACAAAATTTAGAACATCCTTTCACTGAACAGATAAATCTTGGATAATCAGAGATTTATTTACACTACACTGAATATGTTTTTAATTTTTCTACTATTTTGCTTTAATTTACATTCTTGTAAATTGAAAGATAATTTTTTTAAAATTACAAATAGTTTTTTTACCTCTGTAAAGTCTGCATTCTTATCTGTGTCATTATCATCATCTGAATCATCTTCATCTCTCCATTTGTTGAAATCTACTTTAAGCCAGTGATGCTGAAAAAAGCAACAAAAGTAAAAAAAATTAAAACTGAAAATACTAAACACCAATAAACATATGAATCTAAAAAACTCAGCCTGTGTACCAGATAATTTTGTGCAAAACAAATGTTTTAACTATATCATGCCTGGGTGTGTTGATTCAATGCATCTGATTTATGGTTTGTCTTGTACCATTGTAACAACAACAAAAAAACACTGGATGAAACAGTTAAAATTCCAGAACTTTTTCTGAAATTGTTAGTTAGAAGGTTTCATTCAATATGGTCAAGTGTAAAATTACATAGCTAAACCTATCTCATCTTGTTCCACAAAAATCATTTCTTATCATACTGAGAAATCATAATTTAAATGAAGTACAAAATGACAAAGCAAGCTTTTTGGAAGTTTAAAAAAAATGCAGGATTGTAAATGAGGTAGAAGTTGTTCACAAGTATCATTTCTTCTAGCAACATATCATCAACTTTTACAACTTTGTTCTGATCTCTACGCAAGTCTCAGCTGAACTAGAAGCCATATTGGCTTGTACATTTGAAATATCAGAAAAAAAACAATCATTTGATGTTCAAAGTATTAGCCTAGCCTATGACTTCTCAAAGCTGAAACATAAGCAATTATATTACATCATGATAACCGAGGCTAAGAAACAGTAACTGGCTAATCAGTGAAAAAACTATACTTATATTCCAATTACATTGTTAAATTAATATTAATATGTTCAAAAGTATAAATACTTACTTTCTAAGTGGCTGAAAGTGCACTATTAGGCTCAGAAAAATTCATGAAATTTAACTAATCATTTCATTCAGATCACATTGAAATCAACCCAAAATCAAAATTTGTAATACATAAACATTTTTAGGTATAAAATTAAATACATCTTTTAACTCAGAAGTGTTCTTTTTAATGTGTGGAAAAACAACTACAACTCCATTTTCCATAATTTATATTTCAATTCAATGGTGCAATTTTGTTCTTGAGGCAGGATGCACCCAACACAGGTGTGATAGAACTAAACTTCTTAACATAAAAGTTTTATCTTTTTGCTAGAAAAACAAATTCTCTTACAAGTTGTGACTTCTTTCATCTTAATGCCAGTAGTTACTTAGATGAAACAAACTATAATATGTAATGTGTTTAAAAATTTTACACCTGAAAAACATTAAGTATTTTAGATATGAATCTAAAAATCCTAAGCATGTGTAACATGCGTGAATTACTAAAGATAACTTTGTGCAAAACAAAAGTTTTAAATCTATCATGCCTCGGTGGATTGATTCAATGCATCTAGTATAATAGTTTGTCTTACTGTTTTGCAAAAACATACAATTGTTAGTCAAATATTTAACTTAACATATTTCTAAGAATATTCAACTCACTTTTTTGTCATCTTTGAGCAATCGTTTCCAATATGGACCTTCATCAGCTTTTATTAGAATAAATTCTACTTCTCGTCCTTTGACTAAATATTTGGAGTCCTAAGAAATTATCAAGACAGTCAATATTTAGCATCTTTTACTAGTACTGGGAAAAGAAAACGGCCTAATATGAGCTCAAATGAAGTATGAAACATTCATAGTTCCAGATAGAATAAAACTGAAACTATTTAAAACACCATGAGAGGATGTGTTAACATGTGACTCATTAGTTTTTGGTGACAAAAAATTCAAAACAAGAAATCTGCAAATCAGAAAAACATAAAACATCTAAACTTCCACCAGTTGGGTTTCCGAGTTCTTATTATAGGTCATCTCAATTACCTTTACTGCAAATTTAAATATTTTATTTTTTCATGAGACAATCTGATTTGAGGGTAGGTTGGTAGAGATCCTGTTGAGTAGAATCGAATTGGGTATATGTGTGCCCCATGCTTGGTCTTGCTGGTGCACAAAAATATAGCTAATAAAAAAGAAACAACCACGTATAATAAAGAAAAATAATTTTATAAAGACAAGTAACCTAGCTATAGTGACATAGAAAGCTTTAATGTTACAAAAAGTACTGAAACAAGAAAGTCAAAACTACAAAAACTAAGTTACTTAAAATAAAAAAAGTATCCCTACTTTGGCAAATCACTGTAATTATGTTAGCATTAAAACTTTCTGTATCACTATAACTAGCTAGGTTATGTATGTATAGACCCCTATTTGTATTTATAAAATTAAATTTTTTTATTATACTTGTTTGTTTTATTTTTATTAGCTAGATTTTTGTGCACCAGCAATACCAAACATGGGGCACACATATACCCAATTCAATTCTACTCAACAAGATCTCTACCAACCTACCCCCAAATCAAATTATCTGCCAAAAACAGCACATCACCTTCATTTCATATGTATATACTCATACACACACACATTAGTGTCTTTTATGGTACCATAAAAACCCCAAACATAGGACTTTTGTGAAAGAAGTAGAGCAATAGCGTTCATCATTTTTTCTATATGATTGTCTGGAAAATTTACTTATATAGATGAAAATCCATTCAAATAAAATTTTGATTTCTTCCGTAAACATGTATATAGCAATTTAGGAGGCTTTATAAGTACAATAAGTTTTAGATTTGCTCAACCAATACTGTCAAATAGTCATTGTTAATATTCAGACATTTTAAAGGTGGTTTTAAATGGGCAATCTTCATGGTCACCATTTTGTTTCCTGATAATCTCTACTATTCTGTACTACTGTACAATATTTATTGTCCTCTCTTAATTCTGTAACTTATTCACCTAACATGTTTCTTTTATGCTTCACTGTAGAGGGTATCTCAATCAAATAACTGATATAAAACAATGAACTACATTTTTTAACACAAATAAAATATACTGAGATGATTTTACTAGTTTTTTTTGTGGTAAACTAAAAACTTTGCTTTTCATGAGGTATTTGGAATATACCCGAGAAAAAGAGGCTCAATTTTATTAAAATATATCAATGGTGCAATAATATTAAAATTAAACTGTTTTTACAGCAGAATTTCTTTAAAATATAAATTTGCAAGACTTACATCTGGTTTAATTTCTTTAAAAAAATCAAGAGTAATTTCATGGTCTTTCATCTCTGTCCCTCCAATTCCTCTGAAAAGTATAATGTTTACAAGATTTAACACATTCTCATTTTAAATAGTCCATTCTGGCCAAAGTAATAATTTTGAACTTTTCATACTATTTATAGTATATATATAACAAACAAATTTAACCTTCCTCAGAATTACTACTTCTACATGTACATTTTATCTAAAACCTTCCTAATGATCTAAGTGTTATAAGAATATCACAATTTATTTACTGAGTAGGCATACTGCACAGAAGGAATTTATAAATAATTTTATATTTTCCAACATTTTTTAGACATTACTCTTTAGAGACACATAAACAGGAAAATGATTTATGATATGTATACAAAATGGTTTCTAATAGTCTTAATAATCACAGATAATAACCAAGTACTTAGTCTGATTATGTTATGAACCACTAAAACCTGTAATAGATAGAAATAGTATGAAACAGCATTAACACCAGTTAAGTTTGCTAGCCCTTTTTTCAAGTCTATAAAACAATTTTATCTTGCTTTATAATTTTTTTCCTACTTTAATCAGGCCAGTAATCAGAAGACTAAAGATGCTTATTTTATGCTTATTTTCTATCTTTAATTAAACCATGATTACAAAATTATGAGAAAATGCTGAACCTGTAGCCAAACTGCACTGATGTTTAGCTATCTGCTTTCAGTATATCCATCAATCCTAAGCTACTTGTTTGTTTATAGCTGAATTGAAAAGGTCACTAAATATATTTTACTTCTTTTAATGGGAATCAAAATAGCTTGTAGAGTCAATCATATAAAAGAGGTATTTTCACAAAGTATTGTTTCAGTGAGCTAATAATCATGAAGTATTTAATTTCATAATTTCCTTTAAAATTTTTTCTACTGAAAATATTAAAATAGAAAAACATTCCTAAATTCGATATAGTTCTATGAAGAAAATAAAATGCCTATTATTTGATTTTCTGAAAAAAATCATCTCCTTATCTCAGAAAAAGTTAATATTCTTAAAACAGTATTCCCATTACACATATACACATTTAAATATGCAACAGTAATATCTTAGCATTGGCTATTTTTTTTAGTTTACATAATAAAAATACATTCCCATGTTTAAAAACCTTGACAGAACTTCAACTTCACAGAAGTAAACATGAAAAATCTTCTTTAATAGTAATGACATGCAGGAAAATAAAAGTTTGACATAGGGAATGTTTTGTAAGAGAAGATGAACAAAGCATGCATTTAACATGTGTCTAAATTTATACTGGATATGATGTAATATTTGCTAATTTTCTTAATTTACCAAAAGTGCACCTTTGGTAAGAAGAAAAAAGGATTATATGTGTATTGATGAAAAAAAAATATTGAAATTAGTATCATACACCTTGTATGAGTAATTAATAGCCATATTTCAATTCTTAAATGAACCTACCTGAAGTACAGTTTATCTTTTTCTAACTTTATTACTGGATGGCTACAATCTTCCAATGCAATCTTCACATAAAGAAGACCTTTCCTTTGGGCCCATAGTACAGGAGGAGGGAGTACCCTGTAAATACCAAAACAATTTCAACTGCACAACAGAAGGAAAATATTCAGCACAATTTGTTTAAAACAATGTATCTGTGTGAAGTCTAAGCTTGCGTGTTCTCTGACAAACTACCAATTTATGGTTATATAAATAAGGAACCACTAACATAAGAACCTAATATATTTAAAACTAGTACAACTTAAGTAAATCTATCTGTGTTTTCCAGAAGAATAAAATTCAACTGCTAAACAATTTTTTAATAAACTTATTAGAACACAGGCACACAAGCCTTCCATAGCTTGAGGAAAACTGAATTTTCTAATTAAATGTGCATTCCATGAATTATTATGTCTAAATATTCACCAGCAGTCTTCAAGTGGAAGAAATTCACTATTCATGCCAGCCTTTTAACCATGCTATAAATTACAAACATAAATGTACTAATTTATTTTCAATACGTAATTAAAAGATCAATAAATTGATATTTGCAGATGTGAATGTTATACTTGTTTTGTTAAGGTAACAAAACAAAAACAAAGTATAAATTTAATTATACATTGTATAGATTAAAATTGTAAAAACATACTCTATAATTGATTATGTATAGATAGTTTGATGACAAGGAACTCACTTATGAGACAATTAAGTCTTGTAATTAAGAAAACTTTATCACAAGTTTAACAGTAACTGATGATGACAAAACCTTGTTGAAATGTTTTACCTTTGTTTCTATGGTAAACTTGTAATAGTTTTGTTCATTATCAATTCAAACTGTCTTTAATAGGCTGTGATTGAAATATAGCCTGCATAAGGCCTAGTGATAAAGCTATTTCTGCTGTTATTCCACTCAACCTAGAAAAAAGGTTCTAGTCCTAACCCTTAAAGTTTTATACCTTTTCTTTCAAAACTATCCAGGAAACACAATCAATGTTTATGGATCAGTACATTTTCATCACTGTTATTTGCAAATTTCACAATGAGCCTGTCCACAAAATGCATCTTTCATGGAAATTAAATTGTACTAGGCAAAAGATCTATATCATACTAATAGTAATAAATTTATATTCAAATATAGTTTATATTCTTTCATTATTATGTAAATTTTTGTTAATAAGCCTTAGTGTATAACATACTGTATATTACTCCCAGTATTTCTATAAATTTCATGTATTTGTTTCCTCAAGGTACACAATTTGAAACTGGTTTCTTTATAGCATTTTTATTTCATTTTATTGATGGGAACTATACCTGTATCCTTTTTTTGAGTTAATGGTTTAACATCAGTTGAAACATGCATGATCTACATACTACTAATAAGTGTAGTAGCACTTAGCCCATTATGTTTGTTAATGTGTCTGTTACTTGATGCCATTTATAAGTTAGGAACTTCCTTGTTCAGAGAAATAGTTAAGTGAACAAGTGTTAATACACCTTATGTACCTGTGCTTTGGCTTGTTATGACAGATGACGAGGGAGTGTACTTTTTCGATTTCAAAAAATCTTGTAAATATCCAATTACATTCTTTGCAAGAGTACGTAATTATCAATCTACTCCATAGAAAAGTTCTTTGATGTTTTTAAAATAAATGTTTAAAATGCACATGGTGTTGTGCAAAGATAACATGTTATTTATGAAATAATATTAATGTATTAAAAGTACATTACTGTATATAAACTTCAAAAAGTATTTTTTCGATACAGCTCAGAGAGTTTAGTTCAACAACATCTATGTATTACTGTGAAACATAAAAGTGAACACTTTACAATCTTTATGTTGTTCAGTTACTTTCATTAATTTGAAAATTATTTTACTATTTAGAATTTTGGTAGTTTGTATTAAAAATGCATAATTGATGCACATAATGTACAAGGTATGTTAATGAATGATAATTCTATAAAGAGCTATTCAAAGGTATTAAGAAGAGGATTTAGTGTGGGGCACATAAATCAACTACAATTAATATTTTCCCCATTTATTTTAATTGAAAGTTTGTGCAACTGTGTAAAAGAAACAAGGACCTCAGCCTATAACACATAGGCCTTATGGAAAGTCACCATGTTATAAGAATGGATATGAAATTTAAAACTGAAAGTGAATTAATTCTTGATTTGATAGATTGTATGAAAAATGTTGTATATTTTGATAATGGTGTACAGTGCAGGGTAATAATGTTTAATTAAAAAAAATATCTTTGCAACAAAAATTCTATCTACCTACCCTAATTTCTCTTGACAATTTTTACTATAAATATAAAAGTTGTTTCTCAACCTAATGACAAATAAGCATGTAATAAGGCCATAATTTTTCTGCTCATCACAAAGAATAGCTTTATTTTTGCTAAGAACATATCACCCTTTGAGAACATGTTTCTCTATTTCTTGATTTTCAAGCATACCCTTCATCTTCTTCTGCTTATTAATACACAGTCCTTGGTTGCTTCCCTTTTATTATGTTACACCAAGCAGCTTCATAGCTTACAATGATACAAAGATTATAACTTTTTCAAATATACAGAAATTTTCTTTAAGGAGAATACATCACAGAAGCTTCGTGAGATTTTTAGCATGTTAGGCAACAGAAAAATATTTAGATGGCTGATTGAATCATGATACGTTTTAAATAAAAACATTATCATCATTACCAATTTATTTGGTTTACACATGACCAATGTGAGATTACTGCATATTTTAAAAACAAAATGCCATGATTGTCTGGACATTAGCAATTTGCCAAATAGGAAATGTTTGTTCACACTATTTAAAAAACTTTTTAGAAATTTTTACTTTAGGCCTGGCAACAAAAAATATTTTTCATTAAAAAGCTGAAATAGAAGCAACTGACAGAAGATATTTTTATTATTATATAGTGTCTTCATTTGTATTTATCTAAAAAGAGGAGGGGGGGATATAATGAACTGTTCAGCTTATTTAACACTTTCAGCACGGGCTGATGTGAATTACATCTGCTTGACTTGAGGACATTTATGCAAGAAAAATACAATGACTCTATGTGCTCCTTACAAAAACTGGCAAGATTATATTAAAGTTTATGACTATCTTGTACACAAAGAATGACATTATTTCAATTACACCTTTCTAATAAAAATGTTATTGATCTATAGTTGTTATTTGCACTCAAACTGTGAATAGTTCAAGTGTTATGTGATTTTAATTTTTTAAGTATAAAAATATTTTTCTTTATCTTATAGTTTTACTATTTTATTTGCATAACCTCTAGAACCTCCTTAATGAATAACAACATTTTTTGAGGTAACTGTTTATATATATATATATATTTTTCACTTTCTATACAATATCACTGACTAGCTATTATCACCAACGTACAATTCAATGAAATGATTAAAATTACGAAAAAGAAAAAAAGTACATACTATTTAATTTTTTGTAGATTTTTAAAGATTTTCCATTTGTTAAATTTTTAATTTCAGGTCTTTTACATTTCCCATATAGTTAATTTTTAATGGTTTATTTTCCTTCCTTGTACTTTACCATTTAATATTCATCTTTACACAAGTTAACGGTGCCCTCAAGGCATATTATAGTATCTTTGGGAGACACGTGCAACCCTTGAGAACAGATGCAAAGTATGATGTATATTTAAAAAATGTTTAAACCTTTTAATAATGCATTTGAAAACATAACTAATACATAATTAACTAAAAATTAATAGTAAGATCTAAATACAATTTAAACTTTAACTATAACATATTTGGGTAAGAAAAACCATAAGTGCTATAATCGATCAAGCATGCAACAATATTACAGTCAGTTCCATGTATTTTGTGACAACAACTGGGTGCCAGTTTCAAAATAACTATTGTTAGATTAGTTTAAAATGAGCTATTTCTAGTGACTATACACATAGGTATTCAACATCTACACTTAGGCTACAAAGCTCAAACAAATCTGTTGAAGATGGACATGGCACCTGCCAGGGGTTTAAAAAATTTATTATTTAACTGCATTCATTCAGAGAACTTTTGAAATGTGCGAGTCAAAAGGTTATGAAGCATATTATTGTCTAGACATACCTCTACTCAACTGCTGTTGTATTATTGAAGATACACTGAGCCAAAGTAGAGAATTTACGTAGCTTGTTGGTCAAGTGAAAATACATCTGAAGTTTTAAGTAGTTTTTAAAAGCTTTATTTTGAAATAAAGGTCTTAAAACTTAAATAAAATAAAACTCTGAATCATAACATATATTATAATATTAATATAATTCACATACATAGATAGTATAGATGTTTAATGAAATTTTGAATATAACACAATGACTCGTGCAGAGAAGCATTTAAAGGGGCATTCACTGCAAAAAGATAAATGATATAAAGATGTGGCTGTTTCACCACTACCTGGTGAAGTGAGCGAAGAAGAAATGAACAAGTTCTGCAGATATTTTTGTTGCCATGGCTCTTTAGGCTTATGGTTCATATCAAGAATCTGCTTCTCCATTAACCCTCTCCAGACAGGTCACGGGGCAAAGGCCATTTGATCCCGTTTGTTGACTCGCATTCAATATTTTATCTAACTACTATTTCATGAATTTATGTCAAAAAGTTTGGAATCAAACTGTAGATTATAATTCAAATTATAGTATTATACATTATTTAATTTCTTTTAAAAGTAAATATTAAAAAACAAACAGTAAGCATTGATTTTTGTGTGTCACGTGGTATGTTGAATGCAGCACTGGTTCAAATAAGATGTTTCTGGTCAAAATACTAAGCCTATAGTTTCATACAAATTAGGAACTCAAATTACTGATATTGACAAGCTAGACTATAAAATAAGAACCTCGTATCTTTTCTATTTGATGAAATATTGCTCATGTTTTGAATGAAACCCATTGGCCCCACTCACTTCTTTCCATTTTTGGAAACAGATCCTTATATACACTTACTTCAATATATAACATGTGAATAACCAATCGAAAGTTCAGAATGTCCCCTAGTGGCTTTCTCAGCTATTTTTAAGTGTTAGGATGCCATCTCATT